CTGAGACAAGTCCAATGATGCGACAGAATAAAATAAATTATAATCAAGTGTACACCCATTATTATTCCCGCTCATAATAATCTTGTCCCTTTCATGATTAATTTCTAACGTTGAAGAGTGAAGAAATTATGAATTGAACAAATATGTCTGCTAGGCAATGGCTAAGCTGTTGGACACACAGTAGAGGCTTCGTATAAGATACCTTAGGGACAGTAGGAGAGTGGGATTCCGGGAACCCCTATGCCCCCACTACGCGCGCCCATAGAGAGGAGAAAAATAGGGATCAGCGGGTTTCAAATAAGATACCTCGCTCGTTGCGCCCGAATTCAATGAAATTTACATTTTTGCTTCCGAATGGAAGCATTGCAATCGTTCGATTTTCACATTTTCTAATTTTCCTGGTCTGAATGCTCTGAAACGTAAAAATACGAAGTTTGGGGACCATGTCTGTGCGTGACACTGTCCAGTCGGTGGTCATTTTTTCGTAAATTTGATAATTAAAGGGGAAAAATCATTCCAAAAAAATAGAAATCTTTTTCAGTCAATTGATATAACTTGAGACTAACTCCACGCCAAACCTTAGCTTGATCCGTCCATTAGTTTTTGAGCAATAGCCATTCGTTTTTTAACATTTTCTCACAAATATCTCGGAAAATACCGAACCGATTTCAATAATGTTTATGTCATGCGTGCGTGTAAAGTGCAGGTTAACAGGGGCGTTTGGATGTCGGTAAGTCGAGTTTTACACGTACCACCAATCGTTCTTCACTTAACAGACGTTCCCAATTTTACACGCGTCCTATGCTATTTTACTGGTATTTTACACGTTCTCAATAACCCCTAGCGACNCGGAAAAAATCATTCCAAAAAGTTTGAAATTTTTTCAGTTAATTGGTATAACTTGAGACTAACTCCATGCTAAACTTCAGCTTGATCCGTCCATTAGTTTTTGAGCAATATCCATTCGTTTTTTAACCTTTTCTCGCAAATATCTTGGAAAATATCCAACCGATTTCAATAATTTTTTCTCAAAATATTCGNTTTTCTCGCAAATATCTCGGAAAATATCCAACCGATTTCAACAATTTTTTTTTTCAAAATATTCGGCATGATGTCCTCTATCTAAATCGATCAAAACATATAATATATACCCGTTAGTAAATGGGATATTCCATTTACTATTTTCCTGAAAAAAAAAGAAACTTCACACAACTTTAATGTGTTGCTGAAACTACACGATTGTGGAGTTTACGCAGGGCAATTTACCATGTGTAGTTTCGTGATGTGTAGATCTCTTTCTGCCGCGTGTGGAGTTTAAAGCAGAGTCCTGCCCTCTTGTGGGGATAACGCGTTTGCACAAATGTATGTGTACATTCCGGCTCTGACCCAACTTGGCTCTGGCCATGGTCAATACTGCCTTCGGTCCGGCAGTTTCGGAGTCCTCCCCGTCGGCGTAGTAGGTTTCGCATAAATAGGTACAACGTAGATCTGCCGGTGTGGAAGGTTTCCGGAGGGTTTGGGTTGCACTTGAAAAATACAAAATCCCACGAAACATTGATAAATAATTTATATACGTGCAACGTTCAATGCTAAAAACACTACGATTATTATTAAACACGATTCCGAATCAAAAATACTAGAGATTGTCATAAGAACATACGATAATTGGACTATAAAGACAATCCAAGATCTCATGTAGCTTCAGCTGTATGCAACAGCTACGTTTATTACCTGTTCGATTGCATTATTCTTAGACTTTTAATGCCAAAATGATTATCGGGCATGGAAATCAACAAGTCAAGAAGAGAGTATGTAAAATGTCACAGGAGACAGTTGGAACATCAAAAATGTCAAGAGAAACAAACAAAACAGAAAAAAGTTGGAGAATTGATTCCCAAAAATTTCCAGGAAAAAAATTCGAAAAAAATTAAGTATTTAGATAAATATAAATCCATGAACTTTTTTCTATCACATCTCGCTAATAAGAATGGAAAAAAAAACAAATGAGATTTTCAAAAGGATTCTCATAGAATTTAAACAGAATTCACAAATGAAATTGCTGTTTTTGTATTTCCAAATATGAGTGACCCGAACCAATAAAATTCTACAATCGCATGAATATGGAAAGAATTTATTAAGGCCCATTGAATAGATTCAATGCCCTTTATATTTCATTTTCAAAAAGAAAGAAATTTGCATTTCCTCAAATATTGACCACTATTGCTCCAATAAATCCGTCAATTGGTCCATCTCGATTCGCCTAGATTCGCCCTATTCCGTCCTTCCAGGTATAATCCAAACCAAGACCCCTGCAATTAGCAGTAGATATTTGATTAAAAAAATCAATCGATGGTGGATTTTCCAATTTTTTTTTATTTTGTAATGAGAAACAAAAAAAAATAAAGAATTTATTCCCAAAAATTGCCAGGAAAAAAATCCAAGCAAAAAAAAGTATTTAGAAAAATATAAATCCATTGACTTTTTTCTACCAAATATAGCTAATGAGAATGGACAAAAAACCATGAGATAAAATACGTTTTTATCTCCCTCAAATATGCGTGCCCTGACCGAATAAAATTCAACAATTTCATGAATCTGGAAAAAGTTCATTGAGGCCCATCGAATAGATATCGAATGGCCTTTACATTCCATTTAAAAAATACGTAAATTTGCGTTTCCTCAAATTCACCATTACTGCTCCAATAAACCCGTCAATTGTTCCATCTTCATACGAACTCGATTGACCCTATTCAGTCCTTCCAGGTATAATCCGAGCCCAGACCCCTGCCATTAACAATAGATATTTAAAAAAAAAAATAGATGGTGAATTTTCAAACTCTTTTTTTATTTTGCAATGAGAAACAAAAAAACATTGAAGAATTTATTCCCAAAAATTAAAAAAAAAAATGAAGTATTTAGAAAAATATAAATCCCATTGACTTTTTTCTACCAAATATAGCTAATGAGAATGGACAAAAAACCATGAGATAAAATCGCTCCGTTTTTATCTCCCTCAAATATGCGTGACCTGAGGAGCGATTTTGCTCGTTTTATGTCGACATAAAATCGTAAATTTCAACCAATGACAGTGCTGGATTCGGAATACTAAACTAGGATTGGTTGAAATTTATGATTTTATGTCGACATAAAACGAGCAAAATTGCTCCCCTGACCCAATAAAATTCGACAATCTCATGAATCTGAAATGGGTTCATTGAGGCCCATCGAATAGATACTCAATGGCCTTTACATTCCATTTAAAAAATACCTAAATTTGCATTTCCTCAAATTCACCATTACTGCTCCAATAAACCCGTCAATTGTTCCATCTTCGTACGAACTCGATTGGCCCTATTCAGTCATTCTGTCCTTCCAGGTATAATCCGAGCCCAGACCCTAGCACAAACTGTACCCACCCATACCTGGAAGCATGGACGTTTAAATGCCTGTAAATGGGGCCCCAGTGCGCCTGGGACAAGCAAGTGTTCGGTTCACTGTGTGCTCTGCGCTGCCTTTCAACATGGCGTTTGTGACTGTCCATTAATGTTAGTTGCGTTCGTCTCCACATTTTACGTTTCAATTTCGTGGGCATCGGACTGCTGTGATGATAATTGTGATATTCTGGGGGGAATCTGCGACATTTTCGTGAAGTCAAGTAGATCGAGTGGATTTTTTCATCGAGAGGAGGTGTTTTTCGAGTTGACACAAGGGAGGAATTTCAGCCCGAGGGGCTTCATGGGAGTGAGGACGAGACAATTGCGCTTGGGATTGACATATCACGAGGACATTTTCCACGGTGCGAGGTAAGTACATTCAGGTTTCGCAATAATTTTTATGTTTGTTTCTGGGCTCTGGAGGTATCACTGGGCGCATCGTTATCTGTCAATTGTCGGGGGACTGTCTGTAATTGGGGTATTGGTCGTGTTCTGGGGATTTAATTGAAGTTTTCTTCAGGGTTTTGAGGGCTTTGAAGAGTCTTTCGACGGATTCAGGGGCCTGAGGATATTTGGAGGTAGGAAGGATGGCTGAGACGCAGAAGATGAGGATTTATGGGAGACATCCTCCCTGTGCCAGCCTCAGCAGGCTCGAGGAGAGGAGGGCCAGAAGGTATTATTACGTGATTTGTCGCAATTTGTTTGTTTGACGAGGGAATTTGAGGGTGTTTGTGCCAAAACGCAAGCATAATAATTTTTTGTGTTCAACTGACAGAGAGGTAGGGTAAACAGGGCAATTTCTGGAAGGGGGTTAGTTCTGGGCGATTTCAACTTGCGTTGAATAGTCTGTAAATGAAATGAAAATTGTACTGATCATTTCAATAACCTGTCGATAATATTAGGGGAGGGTAGGGTAAAATGGACACTTTAGACTTTTTTAAAATTATTCATAACTCAGGAACAAATGTATCAATAGAGCTCAGGTTAGGCTCATCACAAAGGGAAAGAATTGTTCTTTGTATTGAAAAAAAACATTAAATTTCATCAACATTTCAACCCGTCACTAATATTTTTAAAAAAGTCAAAAGTGTCCATTTTACCCCAACCTACCCTAGTCGTGTATAATCATGAGATCAGTTATTTTTTCTATTGATTGATATTTAATAAGTAAAATATATGGCCCAGTAAATATGGTCCAGAAATTAAGGGTTTCAGGTGCATTCACGTATTTCTTAATTTAAGGCCCGGGTGTACTATTTTCGAATGTTATCTGGATTTTTTTTATCTTTCGTAATCCAAAATTGTCAATTGAGTGGTACATCATGTAGAAATTCCCAAAAATTATGATAGAATGATTAAAAAAATGGAAAAAATTCTGAACTTTCTCAAAGAGCGTTTTTAATTGAGATTCAGAATGAGTTGAAAAAAGTAGAAATTACAAATATCTGATTCGCTGTGGCAGATTATCTATTAGCTGTCATTTTCCATGGTGGATAACAAAACACTAACCCTTATGAGCAGTGACAGCTAGGTATCTCAATTTTCAAAACAGTGGTATGTAGTCATCTGCCATTTTTATGTGATAAAAGTGTGATTAAAAAATTCTCCAAAATATTACAACCTTTTTCAAAGAACCTTTTCCGTAATAAATGTCTCTGTGCAGTGTGGGAAAAGATTTACGAAATCAGTCTTCCCCCTGCATGATATTTAGTGACAGGCCGCCATTTCTCACCCTAAATCAGATACATTTTTCAATTTCTTGTTATTCAACTTATTCTGAATATAAATTAAAAATCCTCTTTGAAAAAATTAAAAAAATTTTCTACCTTTTTTTTGATTATTCATTCATAATTTTTCAAAACTTCTGCATAATGCAGGACTTAATTCACAATTTCAGATGGCGAAAGATGAAATAAAACATCAAGATAACGTTCGAAAGATAGTACACCCGGGCCCTAATTATTCTTTGTTTTGTTTAATTAATTATTCTTTGTTGAGTTATCTCATGTAGATAAAAATTTTGATCCTGTTTATCTTATTCCAAAAATGGCTCTTAACATTTAAGAGAGCCATTTTTTGTAATAAATTTCCTCAACTAGAATCACTAGTTTTCAAAATCATTGGAAATTTGACAAAATGTCGATATTTCGCTTGAGGAAATCTAGGGGATTTGAGGGACAAGGGATTTTAAGGATGTTTATCCAAAATCACAACCACAAAAATTTTTCTATTCAACTGACAGACAATTATCTTCTTCATGTTCATAAAAATTGTTATCCAAACTTAATCCGAAAATGGCTCTTGACAAATTTTTGATCAATTTATTTTGTTTTTCGTTCATTCACGACGTTCAGTTGAAGGAAGAACGCATATTCATTTATATTTTTCCGCATTATTATGGGGTTTCGCGGTGTTTATTATTTCCCAGTGGTTTGGGTGTAACAGGAAATTTGAAGTCAGATTTTTATTGATTGTTTTGTATTTTTTCTCCTGGTGCCTGGGATTTTTATAAGTTTCGCAAGAACAGGAAATTTAACTGGTCTTTTGTGTTCATTAGAAGTGGATACAAAATACAAGTATTTCTGAGGTAAAAAATCAGAAAAAATACATAAAACATAGTAATATCTTAATAGTTGACTGAAATGTCAACTGGTAATGGACTGAGTGGATGAAAAAATCATTTAAAAGGTTGGACTGTCCAATTGAAATATAATTTTGTGCCTCGAGATATTTTTTAATATTGTTTTATCCTAAATAGGATACTCACGATGTAATTAGTTCGGCTATAACCTTTCCATATCATTCAAATCACGAGACGAGTATAAGGACATGGGACTTTCCACGTTCATGGGCGGTTATTTATTAAAAAATAGTAATTATGATGATTAATATAAGTGAATTCTAATTCTGAAGTTTTTACATTCTGATATCTAATTTAAAACATCGCATCTTTACACACATTTCAGTAGAAATATTGGACTAATGATGTGTTCACCTTAGCTACACGACCATAGGATCATTTAGTTTAAAATCAGTCATTTTTCATAATAATACGGACTAATTCAGCAGCGAAGCGTTAAACCGAGTCAAGTCGACTTTCACTTTGGATCAGTTTTTGATGAATATCTCGGCATCTAAGAGAGATAGCAAAATTTTTCTCATGACCTTTCTTATAACCCTCACTTCGCTCCACAAAAAAGGTCATGACAAAAAATTTTCTATCTCCTTTAGATTCCAAGATATTTGTCAAAAACTGGCCAATAGTCAAAATCGACTTAACCCTGTTTACCGTTTCGCTTCTGAATTATGATGTTATTTCCCTATGGAAAAATGACTACTGAATTATGATGTTATTCCCTATGGCTTCTGAATTATGATGTTATTTGAGTTTCGGAGGAAATATCTAAAAATGTCTAAAATCCCACTTTTCACATATTGTGATGAAAAATTCTATTCTTCCTTCGATTTTCCAGATTGGCACTGCGTCTAGAGAGAAACAGAAAGCCAGACAAGCCCGAGGACTTCGTCTGCTACGAGTCAAGCGATGACGAGGAAGAGACAGTGATAGAGGGAAGACAGTACCTCCGAACTTCCTTCAATTTCGTCGACTACGTACGTGCGAGAGAAACCAATACACGAGAAGTTAGGAAAATAAATCAAGAGTATGGGTCCAGACACATCCTCACTCACGACCTGTTTAAAGAGTACTCCGTCAGTCTCAATAATATGAATAAGGTGTTTTGCTCGCAATGGCTGAGCGATCGTCAGGTGGTCTTCGGGACCAAGTGTAATAAACTCATGGTGTACGATGTGGCGACCCAGAAATTGGATCAGATACCTTCGTTGCATGGGAGACAGGGGAATTCCAATGGTGGACCGGTCGTTGAGGCTCAGGCTGGCATTCATTCGGTTCAAATAAATCCTTCTAGGTAATTTATTCAACTCGTTTTATTAATTTTTCGCCGTATTTTGGATTTAATTCATGGCAAGTGGAAAAGAAAATTTTCGGCAACTTGGTGATGATCTGGAAAAAAATTTCAAAGTGATTTATTGATAAGAAAAAATTGCGAAAGTTGAAATGAATTCATGGAAATTATGATAGTCTGATCGGTTGAAAACACAAATCTGCAAATTTTTCATTCTAAAAATTGATTTGATTATTCTTCATGCAGTTGTTGAATTGCTGAGTTGTTTAATTTTTATCAACACTCCATAATTTTTCCTTCCTATTTATTGATAAGAAAAAATTGCGAAAGTTGGAAAGAATTATCGTCATGAGTTTATGGAAATTATGATAGTCTGATTGATTGAAAACACAAATCTGCAGATTTCTCATTCTAAAAATTGATTTTAGTATTCTTCATGCAGTTGTTGAATTACTGAGTTGTTTAATTTTTATCAACACTCCATAATTTTTCCTTCCTATTTATTGATAAGAAAAAATTGCGAAAGTTTAAAAGAATTATCGTCATGAATTTATGGAAATTATGATAGTTTGATCGATTGAAAACACAAATCGGCAAATTTTTCATTCTAAAAATTGATTTTATTATTCTTCATGCAGTTGTTGAATTGCTGAGTTGTTTAATTTTTATCAACACTCCATAATTTTTCCTTCCTATTTATTGATACGAAAAAATTGCGAAAGTTGAAAAGAATTATCGTCATGAATTCATGGAAATTATGATAGTCTGATCGATTGAAAACACAAATCTGCAAATTTTTCATTCTAAAAATTGATTTTAGTATTCTTCATGCAGTTGTTGAATTGCTGAGTTGTTTAATTTTTATCAACACTCCATAATTTTTCCTTCCTATTTATTGATACGAAAAAATTGCGAAAGTTGAAAAGAATTATCGTCATGAATTCATGGAAATTATGATAGTCTGATCGATTGAAAACACAAATCTGCAAATTTTTCATTCTAAAAATTGATTTTAGTATTCTTCATGCAGTTGTTGAATTGCTGAGTTGTTTAATTTTTATCAACACTCCATAATTTTTCCTTCCTATTTATTGATACGAAAAAATTGCGAAAGTTGAAAAGAATTATCGTCATGAATTCATGGAAATTATGATAGTCTGATCGATTGAAAACACAAATCTGCAAATTTTTCATTCTAAAAATTGATTTTAGTATTCTTCATGCAGTTGTTGAATTGCTGAGTTGTTTAATTTTTATCAACACTCCATAATTTTTCCTTCCTATTTATTGATACAAAAAAATTGCCTTCCAACAGAACATTACTGAGCACTGGTGCGCGTCATAGCAATGAAATAGCGATTTATCGATTACCAACGTTGGATCCTGTGTGTGTCGGGGAGACAGGACACAGGGACTGGGTGTTCGATATGTGTTGGTTGGACGATGAATTTCTTGTCTCTGGCTCGAGGGATACGAAAATGGCACTCTGGCACATCAATAGTAATCTCGCTGAGGCACCTGATAAGGCGGACGTACCTACACACCGGTAAATCGAATGAAAGAATCACAAAAAAATTGAAACAGTGACCTACATCATAAGGACCATTGAATAATTTATTTCATCTATTTCGATTGATGTGAAATCGAAATAATCTGCCGAACACTTTTTCCCATACATTGCAGACATGAAAAAAATGGAGATTTTTCTTATTTTTCATTTTTTACTCAATAAAAAATGGAAAAAGGATCATTTTTTTCGTGTCAAATTGTATGGCATTATTTTCAAGAAATTGAAAAATCATAATTGTATTTATTCTTGCATTCGTTATATCAAAATGATTACAAATTTTTTATTTTCTTCGAACTTGAGCAATTGTGCCTTCTAATAGGAATTGGATTTTTTTTCATCCATTCGAAGCACAGAATAAATTCCAAGAGATTTTCATTCATGTCCATAGAGTTTAATACATCAAAGTGGAGGAATAATTTGAAATACATTTTCTTCACAGATTGATCTCACCAGTGAGCGTGAAAGAATGCAAATCAGCTCAGAAAGTACGGGCCCTGGCCTTCAATAAAGCTTACAATGAGATAGCAGCACTGTCCTTGAACAGTTTCATCCACATTTGGTCTGCAGAAACGTTTAAGCAGAAAATATCCAGGAAACTGCCAGCGTGCCAGGAGAACGTCTGCCTAGCTGTCCAAGACGATGGAGTTTACGCGGTGGGATGCCGTTCATATACGCTCCTATTAGACGCCAGAACACTGCAGCCTATTAAGAAAATTCCTTCCAGGTTCGTAGACATTTGATTATTCCTCTGGACTCAATATTCACACATTCCTAGTAACATATGGATTGCTAAACAGTGAAAATTATGGAGAAATCTTGCATAGATGTGTTATGATAATTAATTCAGTAGCGAAATAGTAAAATGTTACAAGTCAATTTTGCCTATTGACCAGTTTTTAATGAATATTTCGGAATCTAAGGGAGATAGCAAAATTTTTGTTATAACCTTTTTTGTAGAGCCGATTGAGAGCTACAATAAATGTAATTACGAAAATTTCGCTACCTCCCTTAGATTCGGAAATATTCCTCAAAAACTCAACTTGGAGATGAGTCGACTTAAACCGTTTTACCACTTCGCTACTGAATTGGGAAACGGGACTCATTTTATTGGCTACAGAAACCATTTTTCTTACTTTTTCTCATAAATGTTAGTTTCCAATTATTTGAGAACCAATTGGTATAAATTTTTTAAACTTCCCCTGGGGTTCCAATCTCACTGCAGAATTTGTTGGCAAAATTATCATTAATCAAATTATTCGTTATTCTGAAAACAGATACAGTGGTTGTGGGATAAGATCAGCGAGCTTTCAGGGCTCAGTACTGACAATAGGCACTGGTTTAGGTATGCTAATGTTCTACGACATAAGAGCACAGAAGTATTTGGAGTCGTCGATAAATTCCAATCGTACGGTAGTTCTCAAGGCCTCGAAAGGATACGTGGTATGTATTCTACTGAATAAACATTTTTGATGAAATAATTTAAAAATTTCCATTTTTACAAATTACAAGGATTTTCTCTACATAAATTATAAATAAAGAATTTTAGACTATAAAAATCTTTTGTTCGGAATCGTAACAAATTCATTAATATTCAGAATTTTACCAGAAATCGATTTCATGCCTAAAAAAGAATAGTTTAAACAACAGTTTTAACAATTTTCATTATTTAGTTATAAACAACGAATGTGTAAAGTAATAATAATTCTGTGCAAAATGTAATTTGAATGACGCTGAATATTCATGACTTTTTTCAAATTTTTCTCACGCAATTTAATCGACAAATTTGATGATTGAAAATAGATGTACGTGCGGATGGTCCTATTCATCATAATCTCTCCATATAATAAAAAAGTAGCTTCCGCCTAACGCAGAAAAAATTTCAAGAGTCATGAGGGTCCCGGGGGTCATAAGGGTCACAAGAGTCATGTGAAATATAAGGGTCATATGGGTCACAAGGGTCATAGGGGTCATACGGGACCTAAGGGTTATATGGACCCTGAAGGTCATAAGGGTCATACGGACCCTAAGGGTCATAAGGGTCATAAAGTAGGATTCGTGTACCGCTGAAAAATTTTCAGGGGTTATGAAGGTTCCGGGCGTCATAAGAGTAAGAAGGGTCATATAGGCTCTAAGGGTCACAAAGAGTGTAAAAGTCTTCACCCTTCCCCTTTAAAGGGGGGGGGATAAATAAAATTAAACCAATCATGTTTCTCTCTTCCTCTCCCCTTAGGAAAGGGGGGGGTGAAGAATTCTTACGGTCACACCCACAAGGTCGCATGCGGTGGGGGGGAGCGAGCGAAGCGAGCGGGGGGGGGGAAGCCCCCC